GTGCTGGGATCACAGACAGGCAAGCACCCTGCACCTTCCTGAGGCAGTTCCCATCAGCCCCGAGTTGGTCCCCTGTGGCCACTGTGGCAAATGAGGACAAACTGGAATATAAAGCCACAGCAGTTCACGCTCCCGCTGCGCTAGAGGCAGTAACCCCGAAGTCCGCAGCTCGTGTGGAAGCTTCCTATTTTAAGAGAATTTATCACATCTGCTAAGGCACCCCCCCCCCCCAACACACACACACACACGTTCCCCGACAGTCAACACAGGCACCCAAGTGTGCCTTGCGGGCCTCCTTCCCTAGCTGTGACCGTGATAGTCAGGACCTGGGGTCTCCCATGTACCTCCTGCACTGTGGCTACAGAGTGGAGATGACGAGAAAGGAGAGGAAGGGGAGACAGGAAGGCCTCACCTCCAGGCCTCCTCGTGTGGACTCTCCTCTCAGATTATAACCACCACACTCTCACCTCACTTACTCTTTAGAGGTCTGTAGGTGCCTTCCTGCTTGGGATCCTTCTAGAGGGCCTCTTGAGAGCCACGGGTAAGTTCTAGACCCCAGGATGCGACTGATGTTTTGCTTCCTAGCGTCCCACTTCCTCTGCCTTCAGTCACCAACCTCTGTCCCTTTCAGCCCTCATCTACACACCCGCAGCTCCGTCCTTGCCTTGGCCAAATCCTCAACCATGTTAGAATCAGCTTCTTCTCTTCTTTCTTTAAGGAAAAAAAAATGGGGGTATATTTTATCTTAAAATGATGGGCATGTGGCTGGGCGGTGGTAGCACACTTCTTTAATCCCAGCACTCGAGAGACAGAGGCAGGTAGATCTCTGTGAGTTCCAGGCCAGCCTGGTCTACAGAGGGAGTTTCAGGACAGCCAAGGGCTACACAGAGGAACCCTGTCTCGAAAAACAAAATAAAACAAAATAAAAAATGATGTGCATGTGTATGTGTCTATGTGCAGATATATATGCACCACACACATATAAGCCCCCAGGGAGGCCAGAAGAGGGTGCTGGATGCCTGGAGCTGGTGTTACAGGTGGTTGTGAACCACTTGATGTGGGTGCTGAGAACTGAACTTAGGTCCTTTGAAAGACCAGTGCCCGCTCTTAACTGCTGAGCTGTGTCTCCAGCTCTCAGTTTTTCTTTCTTAATTACCTTCTTTATGATTTGTGGGTGAAGGGCAGAGAGTAAGCTTCTTGGGCTTTGAGGCCCAGGCAGTATCCAGTACAAACCAGTTGTCACTGAGCATCCATGTGGGACCATTTGTGGGCACCATGGGCCCCGGCCCCCAACTGTGAGTGGCTGCCGCCTTGCTTGCTGACCTGGACCAGATGTCCTCCCTATTCAGATTCCCTGCCGGTCTCCTTCTCACCTAAGGATCACCGGAGAGCTCACCGGAGGTTCTTTGTTCCTGCATCCTGTATTTGGTGTAAACAACTTAGATGCAAGAATGTAGAACATTGGGTCTAGAATGTAGACCATTGGTAGCAAACTTCTGCCTTCCGGGGATCCTCCATTTGTGTTGTAAGCCTGTATTTAAGGTTTCTTCCCTCTTTCAATAAACGGCATTTGGCATTCGGCATTTCAGCCATGGCAAATGACTCGCTGTCTCTTGTCTCTATTTTTAATCCGCAGCCCTTCGCTCGGACATGGTGAACGGGTATTGGTAATGCAGGCGTTACCACTACAACCATTTTCCAGAATCTCTGGACACTCACAGCCCTTATTGAAAGAGGCATGCCACCTCCTCACGTTCTCCTTCAAACTAGAGGCCACCCACAGCACCTCACACAATGTCAAAGCCATGTTAGTAGTCATTATCCTGTGCTGTTCAGGGACTCATAACCAAAATTTAAAAGACTACACCTGTTCAATAAAGACACAATGGTATTATTTTTCCAATATTTTTCCATCCATAGATGTGACACTCAAGGGTACAATGTTGCCCTTGTTCCACTCAGCTGCGGGACTGAGAAAGGACCAGAGCCAAGAGGCGGAAGACTGGGCACGGCTGGACTCAGTAAAAACGCATCAACAAAACCAGGATCACAGGTAGAAGCTTGCAAAGCCCTGCACTATAATTTAGTCCATTGTTTCCTACATTTGTCATACAATTTCTCCTGTGAGAAATATGTGAAGGATGGGGAGTTAGAGGTCACCCTTGGTTACATAGGTAGTTTGAGCCCAATGTGGGTTGCAGGAGACCTTGTCTCAAAGGATGAGAAAGAGGAAGAATCGCCCTTGCTGTGGTCTGGCTATACTGTGCTGCTCTCAGCCCAGCTCATGTGTTGAAACTCCCAATATAATGGAGCTGGATGTAGAGCCTTGGGAGGGGCTTAGATCAGGAGGGCAGAGCCCTTATGAATGGGATTAATGTCCTTGTAGAAGGAGTAACAGAGAGCCTCTTTGTCCCTGTACCTGTAAGAGCAGAACGTTCATCTAAGAACCAGAAAGTGGTCCTCAAAGGACACTGGCTTCCTCCCTTGATGATCTCCCTCCTGCCATCCAAGGCACCATGACTGAGGAGTGACAGGCCATCAAGTCTACAGATCAGTCTTGGAACTCCATCGACTGCCAATGGCAAGATATCTATGCTGGGGAGGCTCTGGGGACATACAAATTGGCAATAGCTCTTGTCTGTGCAGAGTAAGAATATTCATCCTAGATGACAATGGGAAGACAGACTTAAATGATGTTCCAGGGGAGGGTAAATGCTAATGCCTCTGAAAGAGAATTAGAACTTCTAGATCAAAGCCGAGAGAGAGTCACAGAAGGCCAGAGGGGACACCGGGAAGCAGGGCAGCTGGACAATTCCTAGCAAGATTAGAGGAAAAAATAAATGTGAATGCATTAGATTCTTTTATTAGCACCCAGGGCCCGAGAGTGTCTTCGGACATCCTGATGTATGTTCTTTCATGGTGGAGGACCTGAAAAGTGAGAAGCCTGGACCCTGAGGCATGAGTGAAGATGGGGGAATAGTTAGCAGAAGGAAGCTGTGTGGCCACGTTAACATAACCCAAATAGGAAGTAGAGAGACATCTCACGCAGATTAACGTTTACTGACTCTGATGTGATCATCGGGAAATGGTTGCGTCTGCAAATAATGATTCAAAAATTTTAATAAGAATGGGAGTAAATCAGGAGATTTAATGCAAAATTAGGAGAGTAGTCTTTTTTAATATTTATTGTTTTCCAATGAATGGATGAAGGACAGAGAAAAGTGGAGGAAGACTTCCATGGCGTAGCTTCACATACTCCATGTAAACAGGTGCACAGAAACCAAATTTTGAGATTATCCTTTCTGATGCTCATTTACACCCGCCACAGATTGCTCACAAGATCCCATCATGGGATAGACTACGAAATATCTTTAAAAAACAACAACAACAAAAACAAAAGAGGAAAAACAGTGCAAGCTGCTTTTCTGACTGCAATTCATTAAAAGCAGGAGATGACGGCAACATTGGAGACGGTGAAATAAAGTCTACCCTCCTTGAAAGAGTATAAAATAAAATAAAAAAAGAAAGAGTCAGATGCCTTCTAAATGCTCACAGGTCACAGAGAAAAACAAACTGAAATTTAAAAACTATTTACACGTGAACAATAAAGGGAGTGAGGCGTACTGAGCAAACGTTTTCCAGGCAAAATCAGACCCTGAGGAGAACCGGTAGTCATAAACCCTCTAGTTGAAATAAGAAAGATGGAAACGAAATCAAGCATTTAGCTCTGGGGAGCAGAGGGGTGGGAGGAACGAGAAGCCAGACCACGAGAGATGAACAACAAAAGCAGAAGCAATAGAACAGGAAACAAATGAGGGACAGTCAGGAAAAGGGGAGCCTGGGCCTCAGGAAGCATTCATCCTTTTGGAGTGGATGCTTCATCGATCCATGGAAGAATTCTGGAACGTCCCCTAGATATCTCAGGTGTGGATCTGCCCTCATGAGGATTGAAGGAGGAACTGGAGAGGAGACATTGAAAATACAAAACAACAGGAAAAAAAGAGGGGGCAAGTATAATCTACTTACATCAGATGACAGTGAGTAGTGTGTGTGTGTGTGTGTGTGTGTGTGTGTGTGTGTGTGTGTGTGTGTGTGTGTGATACATAAAGTATCCCAGACTGGGTTAGTTTGCCATCCTGAGGAAGAACATCTGGCCTTTCCCATAGAGGATAGAGTTATGCGGGTACCTGGGAAGAACACCCTAAGCAGAGGAACCAGAAAGTGTGAATGCTCCAGCTTAACTAGGGTGTTTGTAAAAGAGACAAGAAAAGGCTAGAGAGATGGCTCAGTGGTTAAGAGCACTGGCTGCTCTTGCAGAGGATCCAGGTTCAATTCCCAGCACCCACAGGACTGCTACCAACCAACCATCTGTAACTCCAGTTCCAGGGCATCTGATGCCCTCTCCTGGCTTCCTTGGGTTCTGCACAGAGGTACAAATAGGCAAGACACGTACATAAAATCAAAATAAATTTATTTTAGAAAGAGGTGAGAGATCTAGGCACTGATGAGGGAGGGCCAGGGAGAGAGGGAGGTGAGGGAAAGCGGGAAGGGGAAAGACATGACAGAGATGAAGAAGAAGAAGGTGTGAGGATATAGCTCAGATTACAGAGGGCTCGCTTGGCAAACAGGAAGCCGGGGTGGTCCCATCACCACATAAACTGGAATAGCTTGTTTGCCTGGGATCCTAGCACTTAGGAGGGAGAGGCAAAAGGATTGACGTGCGAGGTCAATCTTGTCTATATAGCAAGTTCAAGGCCAGCCTTGGCCATATGAGATCCTGTTGAGACGGAAGGAAGGAGAGAGAATGTGAGGGAACTGGAGATAAGACTCCATTCTTAGGTTAAAGAAACATTGTAACTAAACTGTCACACACTTAAACTCTAGGGTGAAATGGGAATTTTCTACAGAACCATATCATCTAAAAGGAGGCACATAATCTCGGGCTGACAGTCACAGGCATTATGAACATGTAGCTTATGTCACTATGCATAGACGCAGAGGTCACAGCAAACCACAGAGGGAGTGACTCAAAGCAAAGGGAGCTTCCCAGTCAAGTCACTGTCCAGAGCGGGCACGTGCCAACTCTGCACCTCAGACCCAGGCTCCTGCTGCTTCCGGGATCTACCAAGCTGACCTGCTTCCAGCTACCTCCCCACCGGGCCCCCTTCCAGGCAGCAGGCTTCTGGGAGAAGAAGACTGTGCCCACATCTCCAGGCCCATGCCAGAGTGGTGCCCACACATCCCTGGTCTCTGCAATCCAAGTCCTGGGATCCCTCACAGCCTGAGCTTGGAAACTCAGCCACATGTAGCCATCAGAGAAGTGAGTTAGGACAAATGTCTCATCCCAACATTTGTCTCCACCTACAAGCCTAGGGCTCCCTGATCACAGAAAGACAACCTGTTAGTGTACAATTAGCACTCTCTGCCACCCTAGCCAAAGCTCTAGCCTTAGAAACAGTCACCATGCCAGATGGCTTCAAGAACAAATACTCCCAACCAAACTCTCAAAAAAGAGTTGCAGATCTAGGAGCTGTGACAGAACTCAGGGAAGGACAGACAGTCCCCAGCTCACTCTTTTAGGTTAGCGCAACCCTGATGCGGAAGATAACAGAGGAAAACCTGCACGTAGACCCCACTCACACTCATGGATGCACATCCTAAATAAACCGTGCCCCGAAGTCTGCTAAGACAACCCAGCAGCATGGAGTAGAGTCTACACCCAGAAACAGAATGTTGTTCAGCTACTGAGGTGCCCACTTCATCCACAGAGTAGAGAGGAGTCATGTGGTTACCTCTCAAGACAGTCTGGAAAGATGGAGTCTGCAGTCTCAGGCTCAAACCAAACCAAATGTCTTCTGTTACTTATTTCTCTCGTTGTTATGGACAATCCCTGTCAAGAAGCCATTTTAAGAGAGAGAGGATTTGGGGTTGGGGATTTAGCTTAGTGGTAGAGTGCTTGCCTAGCAAGTGCAATGCCCTGGGTTCGTTCCTCAGCTCTGGGGGGAAAAAAGAGAGAGAGAGGGAGGGAGGGTTTACTTTGACTCTCGATTAAAGGGTGCACAGTGCGAGTCCACCCTGGCTGGGAAGACGGGGTGCCATGAGGGGTTAGCGACTACCTGCCTGAGCTTGCTTGCATCTGGTTGGATCAGGAAGCAGAGGTGTGGAGGACTAAAGCCTCCAGGACTACCCCCAGGCACCCACTTCCTCCAGCTAGAGTCTACCTCTAGGTCAAGGTCCCAGAGTGACTCGGCTTGTTACTGGGCAATGGAAGGAAATGAAGTTGACATTATTGTGTATGACAGCTGGCTCTAGTTTTCTTACTTATTTCCCCCTTTGTTCTTTTAAGACTGAACCTACCCTCCCATCCACTCCCCTTTCACCCACTCCCCACTCCCACCCCCCAGTGTTAGCCAGGATCTCTGGGCACTGGATTAGAAACTGCTTCTCCAAGCCTTCCTTGTATTTGGAGGCAATCAGGTGATAAAGTCCCAGCCAATGGGCTGTGAGCAGAAGTGACAGCTTCGATAGTCTTGGTATTGTTTCCAGGGGAAGCCGTTGGCTGCAGGCTTCCAGCTGCAGAGCCAGCCTTGCTGTTTAGGAGCTGTCGGTGTGG